GCGACGCCCGGCCTAGTGGGCGCGCTCCCTGCCGCTTCTGGCCTGGACCCAGGCCGCCGCCTCTGAGCAGCCCTCCGCAGCGCCGCCTTCGTGCTCCCGGCCGAGCCCCGGGAAGCGGGCCGGGGACGGCGGGGGCGTGACCGGGGCGCAAATGCAAGCGAGTCAGAGGGCGCCGCGCCACTGCCGCGCGGGGTAGCACTAGGGCAGCCAGAGGGGCAGCGACATCTGCGGGCGGGCGGCCGACGCTTCCCGGCGGCGCGGAGCCGAGCGGGGCGGCTCGAAGACGCGGGGCGCAGCTTGGCTGGGTGAGCCTCGCTTTCCGGGGACTGCCGGCCGGCTCGCCAGCTGCGCCCGTGCCCCGGCCCCGAGCGCGTGGCCGGTGCTCGCGGGCCGGTGCGGAAGCGACGCCCCAGGCTGCTAGCTCACGTCGGTCCCACCGCAGGCGGCTCGGCGACGTCTAGGGTTTGTCAAAGCACCTCGAGCGACTAGGAGAACCCGGTTTCTCCACCGGGGGACGGCGATTGTAGTTTCTTGCCTTTAGAAAGTTACTCCGACACTTTTGATCTTCCGTCCTGAGTAGGGAGGAAAAAGAAAGCGCGATCTGCCCCCGGGCTAGGGGCCGCAAGGGGATCCGGGCAAAGGGACAGAGCCAGTTTTAAGCCCGAGCTGCGAGTCCGGCCCATTGACACTTCAGCCCCGGAAAGGGTTAACTGCATCCAGCCGGTTCGGTTTACATGTAAATAGAGAGCAGCTGCTCCGCGCGGGCCCCGGCTGGCCCTTTTAAGTTTTTGATTGGTTGCCAATGACATCACCGCCCGTGTTATAACGCTGAGGACCCGGAGCGGCGTTGGATAAACCCTCCTTAAAGAGACGAGGCCACGCCCCCGGCTCCTCCCCCCCGGCTGTCCATTGGCCGCGGGCCTCTGTGAGGTAGCGGTCAGCTTTCTCCGGATTCCTATTGGCCCAACGTGCCGTCGGTCGGCAGCCGGCCCGCCCCCTCAGAACCTTACATTTACAGTGTAGCAAAAGAGAAAGTAACTATGTTGCTGCTGGAGATCAATGAAGCCAAGTGAATGGGGGCTGAATGGGCGAATCCTTAGCTGAAGCGGAGCGCCAGATGGTGGAGGGCTACACTTATTTCTGAAGTAAGTGGAAGTCACCGCGGCTACTCCTGAGAGCGTGGGAGTGTAAGGCGGTGTGAGTGTGTGTGTGTGTGTGTGTGTGTGATGCGATGCTCACGGGGAGCCACAGCAGGTGAGGTTAAAGGGTTCCGGCTGTTGGCTCACGCTGTCCTGTGCGTTTACTCTCTCTGCAGTCTACTTGGATTTGGGGAGAAGAAGAAAATGAGGTTTGTTGGGATGCTTTGCGGCAGTTTTAAATGCCAGGGGCTTGTTAGTGTGCTATGTTGCGAAGGGGGATAAGCGCCCAAGAGTGGGGAAGTAACATTCTCTAACGACTTAATTTTCTTTCCAGCCACTGCCTAGAGGTGGAAGGACGACTAGCAAGGGAGCGGGGAGAGCTTAGTGTTTCCCTGGGAGGTTTTCTGGGCCAGTCTGGACGCTTTCACGGGCAATATATAGGTCCGACCCTCTGCTGCAGGGATGCAGATCTCTTTATACACTCCGGGCGTGTGTGTGTGTGTGTGTGTGTGTGTATGTGTGTATGTGTGAGCCGCGCACTCCGTGTGGAGATGGGGGTCCCAGCCTGTGTCTCCGCGAGCACGCTTATGCGTCCCTCGCAAAGGAAATGGGCTGTTGATCCTGGGACATTCCCTACCTGGTAACACAATAGCAAAGACTTTCACCGCTTGGTCCAGCTGGGAAACAGTTATAGCTTCTGGAATAGTACTTGCTCTTCAAAAAAATACTACGCAAGGGAGGGAGGGAAGGGGTGAGAGGGAGGGAAGGGGTGGGAGGGAGGGAAGGGGTTGAATCCTTCTCTCCCATCCAAAGGTGGGTAAGAGAAACCTGAGTCCGTGGGGATCTGTGGACGTGTCGGGTGCGTGTCTCTGTGTGTGTGTGCGTGTGTGGATTCTGCCTTTGACACTTTGGCTCTGTATCGGAGAATGGTGACGGTCCTGTGTAGACTGATGATAGATGACATTTTCCCAGACATCTCTTAAAGTTCGTTTAGGTGAGTGACTCTTGCATGGGGTTTGGTTTCTCTGAGCATGTTTAATAGAGGAGAAGCCAGCAGGGTCGGGTTGTAGAGTGCCCCTGTGCCTACGGGAAGGAAGGAACTGTTCCTTTGCAGGCGTCCCCTCAGGAGACAGGAGATGGACCCACTGGGCAACACTTCACTGCCCCCTTTAACAGGGACCGGCTAATTGGGAAGTCCTTTCTATGGAATTCATCCTCTTCAAGGGGCGGGGGTCTATCTGTGGGGGATTGAAATATTATACACAGTGGCTGCCTCCCATTGAGAGAAGCTCTTGGATGCACAGTCTGTGCCAACAGGGAACTGAAGGAGGGAGCAGAGTTGAAGTGGTCCTTTCCTTAAAGGCAGGAGTGTGGGGGTGTAGGGGAGAAGGGGGGAGATGAGGTGGGCAGCAAAGAAGCAAAGGGTGATGGATCTGCCAGGGTTGGGGGTTACCAGATCTGGCTCCTTGGCCTGAGGCTTTGTTTCAGGACATTTCGTTTGTAACAAAAGGGAAAATGCAGATTAATTTATAAGAGACTACCAGGAAACATGGGAGGTTTTAATATGACTATGTTGTGCTTTTCAAAGGAATGCAAAACAAGAATAGCTCCTAGTTAAAGAGATTCACTTAGGGGGATACTTCCATTCTGATTTGCCGAAAGTTGCCATCCGCCCCTGATGTATATTTAGCTGCTGTATATTTCGGTGAGCCATGCCAGCGCTCATGGTCATTCTGTTGCCTTTGCAGTGGGTGAAGGAATTAAATGGAAAGAATGCAAGGGTGGACGAGTGGGTCTTTCTCAGATGGTTGCACTGTGCTTCTGCCCAGGAGATGAGGCCTAGAATAGATGCCTCTGAAGAGCCTTCCTTTCTGTCTTCAGCTTTTCTGATTCTTTGTGCTTGTGCTTTCTCCGAGGCTGAACTTCCATGTAGGTCAATGAGAGGTTGTTCATCAACATTTGTGTAGACCATACACGGAACCTTAGACTTAGTCACCAAATAGGTGGGTGCCGTCAGGTCGACATCCTCTTCGAATCTATAAAAATGAGTTTTGGGCTTTGAGAGTGGCATGATAAAGGGCCCTTAGGACAGCTTCCCTCAGAGGGATGCAAAGGCCGTTCCTAGGGTTTGGATCAGACTGCCTTTTGTGTCACGTGACTTTATTCTTTCTTTCCCCCTCCCCTTCTTTACAGACTGTCTTGAGTTCTTCTTCAATTGCCAGTTTTCAGCCTCCTCATGCCTCCATCTCCTTTAGACGACAGGGTAGTAGTGGCACTGTCTAGGCCCGTCCGACCTCAGGATCTCAACCTTTGTTTAGACTCTAGCTACCTTGGCTCTGCTGCCCCAGGCAGTAACAGCCACCCTCCTGTCATTGCCACCACCGTCGTATCCCTCAAGGCTGCGAACCTGACGTATATGCCCTCATCCAGCGGCTCTGCCCGCTCCCTGAATTGTGGATGCAGCAGCACTAGTTGCTGCACTGTGGCAACCTACGACAAGGACAATCAGGCCCAAACCCAAGCCATCACCGCCGGCGCCGCCGCAACCGCCATCGGAACCTCTACCACCTGCCCTGCCAACCAGATGGTCAACAACAATGAGAATGCAGGCCCTTTAAGTCCATCAGGTGGGGTGGGCAGCCCTGTGTCAGGGAACCCCAAGCAGCTAGCCAGCATCAAAATCATCTACCCCAATGACTTGGCGAAGAAGATGACCAAATGCAGCAAGAGTCACCTGCCGAGCCAGGGCCCTGTCATCATCGACTGCAGGCCCTTCATGGAGTACAACAAGAGTCACATCCAAGGAGCTGTCCATATTAACTGTGCCGATAAGATCAGCCGGCGGAGACTGCAGCAGGGCAAGATCACTGTCTTAGACTTGATTTCCTGTAGGGAAGGCAAGGACTCTTTCAAGAGGATCTTTTCCAAAGAAATTATAGTTTATGATGAGAATACCAATGAGCCGAGCCGAGTGATGCCCTCCCAGCCACTTCACATAGTCCTCGAGTCCCTGAAGAGAGAAGGCAAAGAACCTCTGGTGTTGAAAGGTAATGCCCCTGGTCCCCTCCCAAGCACAGTCCCGGTTAGCCTGGGTTCACTTTGGGTTTTGTCCTAGAAGTCCCAGCATTCTCCTTACCCTGGCTACACGAGACCAAAATAGACCTTCTTCTTCTTGTCTTCCCTTCTTTGCCCTTAACTATTTTGCTGTAGTGAGAAAAACCAGTCACACTGAACCAGAAGCCAGAAGACCCGGGTTCTAGTCTCCATGCAGCTTCTCATTCGCACTATGTGAGCATTTCACCTCTCTGAGACTATTCTCTCATCTTTTAGACGGGCTGTCTACCACCAGATGGTAGCTCAAGTCCTAGCTGGTCTGGTGGCTCTATTCCAGTCAATAACCAGTTGGAAAGTTGTTGTCTCTCAGATTTAACCAGAGTGGATGGAGCGGAGGAAGCAGCAACTATGGTGAACCACAAGTAAGCCTTCAGGTTCCAGTGCTTTTTTATGGGAAATCTTCTTTCTCACCTCTGACCAGCTTGGCTTTTATATGGTTTATAAAGTGACCTTCAAGAAGGGCAGAGATCCTTACTGTAAGGCCCCCCTCAAAAGCGTAAGTGTTGTACCAACAACATCCATTCTTCTGCCAAAGCTCCAAGGGGACAGAGACATTTTTATGAACTACTCCTCAACCCGTTGTTCTTTCTGGCCTCATCTGACAACCACTGGCATCATGGCTCCTCCCAACATGGGGTGGTAGGTCACTTGGCCCCTTACACTGAATACAGAATAACTCTGATTTTAGTGTTGCTGAGCCCTGGCAGGAAGAATTAATTACCCACTGTTTTCTGAGCTCCTTCCACCCAGTGTTGCCTAACACAGCGAGCGAGCCTTCATCTCGTATCTATCTGACTCGCTCCTCTTTGCCCTCAGATATTGTCCTCTGGGGCACTACACACCACTCTTTCTCTTTGGTGTCTTCTGTCCTTTGACGGCAGTGAGAGATGGTCATCTTCTCTCTTTTCTTCTCTTGTTTTGAGCTAAGGTACACAGTTTGTGGGCCACATCACCACCAAGTCTCCTGAAGTGTGTTGACCGGAGGTATTGCTGTGTTCCTTCGAACACCTTGCATATTTAAACTGCAACAGGCCATTGGGATGAGCAAGTTAGTTGTTTTGTCTTTGTGTGACAGCTCTGCCATTCTCCTTCTTGTCTTCCCAGTGATGCATTCTGCCTTTTGTTAAGTAGCATTCTTGGAAATATGGTTCTGAATTACTTTGATAAGTTCCTCCCTCCCCCTCCCCCTCCCCCCCATCCCATCCCCTCCTGATCTCCTTAGGCTCAACTGCCACAAAGGCACAACTTTTCTTAGGGTTGGTAGGCTCTGGTGGGAAGGAGAACATGATGGAGGTCATATCCAGAGAGTTTCAGCAGGGCCTGGGTATTTTTGTTGTGGTTGATGATTTTTCTTAGGGTTACAGATACATTCAGATTTCCTCTGTGTAGCTCTGTATTTTATTGTTTTCTATTCTTGTTTGGTTGACTTTGAGTGATTCCCAGTAGGCTTACCCAGCTAGTGTTCTCTCACCGTGATCTTGGCTTGTTTTGTCTTTTTCGGATGAGAAAATACAATCCACAAATTTCTCATTTGTAATGGTTTGTCTTGGGGAGCAAAGAGGGAGGTTGCCCGCGGTCTGGCGGGTCACCTCTTTGCTCATGTAGAGTTGATGTTAGGAAAAACCAGACCTTTTGTGTCTATATGATTTGAGGACAGGCATCAAACAATACAGATTAAGATGACCCTGGACTTGAACATGAGGGTGATTAGGCGGAATTGGAGATCTTACCCTCTCATTTGCAGCGGACATTGTTGTGTTTGGGGGTGGCCTGTCAATCGCTGGGAAATGAATCTCCCGGGTGCTACCGATGAAAGTGGGGTTCCTCCCCTGTGGATGCAGCTGAGAAGTCCGGGCAGCCTGGGCCTGTTCCTCAGTGTCAGTGAAGTAAGATTGCCTCAGTGGGGCGGGGCCGGACATGCTGCTGACCTCACCACTGGGCACCCCGGGCGGCTGCGGTGAGGGCTCGTCATTTTCAGGTTGGTGAGACACAGCGGCGGTTGACCTGGAAGACGCGCTGGTGGTAGAGGTTGGATTCTTTGTAGCTTTGGGGGCTTTTTCTTCAAATATCTGGGAATTTGACTGAAAATAGACAGTTTAGGAGCAAAAGGGTTGGTAATTTATTTATTATTGTCGTCATTATTATTTTGGTCTCTTTTGGGGGAATGGCTTGAAATGGGGACCAAGATGGGGAAAAAAAGGAGAGCGATCATAATTAGGACGTCCCTAGCTATGCTTCATCTGGGTATACCAAAGGTTAATACCACAGCACCATGGAGGTGAAGAATGGGGTGGGCATCTCTCAGAAGGCATGGCCAGCGACTTCTCCCAAGTTCTTGAGTGGATCAAGCAGACCATTCTGGTCTGGCTTCTCTGCTGAGGTTTATTATACTAATCCCCTCCCTGGGTGATGCAAGATTTTATTTTAGCAGAGTGGTAGTGGTACCATTTTGGAATGAGTGATTTTTTTTTTTTTTTTTTTTGCAGGGAAGCTATGGTGGTGAAGATAGTTAGAATCTAAGGTAGAAACTTTGAAGGCCTCATTAATTTATTTTCAGAGATTTCAGTACAATGTCGGGTAATTTATGGCTGGCCCAACTGATTCTCTGGTTTATGTTGGTAAACACTGGTTGCTACCCTCCCCTGTCCAAGTTTTATGTCCCCCCTGTTTCAGTGCCACGTTCTCCATTTTTGGTACTGCCTGTCAAGTAGAGCGGCTGCTCAGTTACCATTTTAGTAATGCTGTGTCAGGTTGGGAAGAAACTGATCAGAGGCACAGAAGCCCCTGGGATTAAGTTACTGTTCTAATTTACAGTCCCCTCCCTGTTGTGACCTATGTCTAAATCCATGTTTTATTCTCCTCTTCCGAAGAATAAATGGCATCAGACCAGTGCTTCTACTCCTCCTGGTGAAAATGATCCAAATGCATAAATATTTAGGGATTTGCAAAGACTTTGAGAGAATTACAGTCTGTTTTACCCCAAGTTGATTTTCAGTATGATTTCTAACCAAACTGAATAAGAAGGCTCTACAGTTCTGGGCCTCCCATAATGAGAGCTACCATCTTTGTTTTGATGTTTATAAGGTACCCTTTCTTTTCAGGAAAGCTGGATTCAGGAAAATAATTTATCATTTACCTCTGTTGGAAAGGATAGTCTACGGCCACCTGCCTCCTCCTTAAAGACCTCTATGCCTTTAAAACTTTTATTATAAGAATTTTCAAATATATAGAAAAGTAGAAAAGAGTATAAAGAGCACCCATATACCTACCACCCAGATTAAACAGTTGTTTATATTTGCCCGATTGGCTTTCTCTTCCTTTTTTGGTTGTTGAAATATTTTATAGTATAGACAACATTTTAATGTATTCAAATATGTTTCAGCTTTCAAGTTACTGTTTTAGAATTAATAAGGCTGTGGACATTTTATAGGATAGTACAGACACATTTTCACCCTAAACACTTCAGTATCGTGTGCCCCCTCTTGAGAGTTTTTCAAACTTCGATTTCCACTGTGACTAGCTGGCTCTCAGGTCTGTGGAGAAGCAACTCTCCCTTGGAGTGGGAGGGTTCCGGGCACCTCCTCGGGGGGCTGTAGCCCCCCCTTCCACGTGGCTATGTCAGGGCCCGGACCTGTACTTGCTCCATGCACTGGGGGAGCACAGACTGCTGACCCATTCAGTCCCCACCACGGACCTGCTGCTGCACGGGCGGTGTTCAGTGGGGAGCAGGAGAGGAGAGACAATCACTTCAGGAGGCTGATCCGTACGGAAGATATGATAACACAGGGAGTTCGATTTTTAGACTATAAAACCTTCCATCCTAATTCCTGAGGAGTAAGCCACACAGAGTGCACATTCTTCCATAATCACAAAGGATTCTGAAGTAACACTTAGAGGCAGTATTGAGTTTGATGACAAAGGGAAAGGCTATGCTCAATAATCGGAGACCCCGCGAAAATAGTCTATTTCTGCTTTGTTTCTCGTGGGGGAACAGCAGCTTTCCTCTGGTCTTGCAGGATGTTATGAGGAACTTTTTAAAGATATGTGAAATAAAGACATACCTCCTATAATCACAAACTTAGTGTTGTTATTCTGAGCCTCTGCTTAACATCCAAACATGCTGAACATTCGCCTTGTAGCAAATGGTGGGGAAATTCATGCAGGATTTTGGATCCAGTCTGTCTGATTCTAGTCTTGGTCCCCTCATACTAGCCATGTGCCCTGGGGCAAATTGCTTCATCCCTTACTTCCTTAATTTCCTCATTTATAAAAGAGGATGTAACAACAGTTATGTCACAGTGTTAGTCTAGGAATCGAATGATGTCATGGGCACAAAGTGCCTCGACCAGTTTTCATATGTGGTGAGTGCTCACTAAATGCAGCTTCATATTATTATTACCACTGGTTGAGCAGAAATGATGGCACCAATAAAAAGGCAATCTGGGCTCCTCTTCCGAAGGAGTATAAGCAGCAAGCTAGGTATAGCAGTGTGTGTGTGTGTGTGTGTGTGTGTGTGTGTGTGTTGCCATGGCCTAAAAATAACTTGGTGACTGTTCCCTAATTTAAGTAGCATACGGTTGGAGTGCCAAGTAATTATAAAAACATGTTGGGTCAAGAGGCCAGAGTTATTTGGGCATATCCTAGAATTATTTATTTGTAGGGGAATTTGTAAAAATGTGATGGTAAGTCTGTCCAACTAGTGTCCCATAACTCAATAATGAAAGTAGAAAACTATTAAGCTTCGCTTTTTCTGGCCTCTCATCAGGCTGATTTATTTTTGGAATAAGGATTGTAGTCTGACTATAAAAGGGCAGGTAGAAGGAGGGGGGAGTGTGCTTCATTTTCACAAGTTCTCGAAGCTTTGAGTTGTGATGAGATGGCGTGTGAAGGAAAAAGGAGGGAACCGTGTTGGAAGGGCTGCTCATTTCTGTAAGTGAGACCCGATCCTTTTCTCTGAACTGGTTCACAGTGGCCTGTACTCTGAGCTTTTGGATATACTATCCTGCTTCCTAATTAAAATGTAAGTGGAAAGAAGTAAGTGAGCTCTCTCCCCCATCCCTGTCCTTGTTTTATCTGTTCCTCATTCACTGTGTGCTCAGCAAAGTGGAGTTTAGCCCACTTACACTTGAATTCAAATCTAGGCTTTTCTATTGACCAACTGTAGGTGTCCTTGGGGAGTTCAGGTCACCTCCCAGAGCCCCACTTGTTTCTCCACTGTAAAAGAGGGATAATTCAAACATCACAGGATGGACTGAGACAACGGAAACCAGGCGCCTGGTACATAGACCGCTCTCAATAAAGCAGCCACTGGGCCCTGTTCCCCTACCCCTGTGCCCTTTCAGATCCTCTCAGGTTGGACATTGGTCAGCGGGGAGGATGGCAAGTTGTTCTAAGCATAGTACTATGGGAGCATGTTAATATCAACCACTTGTCTTTGCCAATTCAAATCAGTTAAGTTAACCATCTGGCTTGTCAAGGACAAGTTCAAGAAACTCCTTTCCTGGCAGCAGTAGATAATGATTTTAGATTAGAAAATGGAGAATAAGGGCAGGGAGGTTTGACAAAATCACAGGAGCAGAGGAACTCTGCAAAGCCTGTGGCATACACCCTCAGAAGCTAGGAGTGAACCTTTGACCGGAAGCCACGGCAACGCTGCTTCCTTAGACTCAGTGTTGGCAGCACTCAGGCTCCCTGCCCCAGCCTGGGGGAGCAGTTTGGGCATAAAAATGCGTCAGTTTGCAGGGCCTAGGCAATTGACTTCAAGTAGGTGGACAAGGATACACTCCACATTAGGGATAGAAATTCTGATCCCATGGGAGGTCTTCTCACGTTCTTTGAACTCAAGCATCCCAGTTTTTAGTATAGGAAGGAACTTTAGAGGCCCCCTCATCCCCAAAGTTGTCCCTGCAAAGTTGTCACTGGAATCCGCTGGGGCGATTTAAAACCTACGATGATCAATTCCCACCTCTGGAAATTCTGATTAAATTGGTCTGGGGGTACAGCCTGTGCATCAAGAGTTTTAAAAGCTTCCCCGGTGATTCTGACGTGCAACAAAGTTTGAGAACCATTGATCTAATCCAGTTTTCTCATTATGCAGTTACTGAAATGGGCCTGGAGAGATTTAGCTTGCCCAAGGTCACATGCATGATTAATTTTAGAGTCTCGGTCCTTAGTGCTAAAATAGGTCTTGCCAGGTTGATAGAGTGTGTGTGTGTGTGTTATTATCTAATGATAACAGTTATCTACTGTATAGCATACAAATATGAAATAATATATTTAATTAATCATTTTTAGTATTGATACCCTTTTTGTTGAATTTTGAGATTTCAGTCTAGAACTATAGGGACCTAAGTCGAAGCTCTTTTGAAACCAGCAGCTCATGGTCCTGATATTTGCCTGGGTCCCAGAAATTTAGGACAATTATTAACATCAATTTAAACTCATCTTCTGGGGAACTTAATGGTTTAAGAATGAGCTGGAAAACACGCATCAAAATGCACCCTTGTACCAAAGTATCTCAGGTTTCTAGGGACTCTTTGGTATGTTGGTCTCCATGGAGGTACAGCCTGTGGGTAGAGGAGATTCATTCATTTGTTCAACAAATACTACTGAATGCCTTCTGCATGCTGGTCCCTAGTTTTCAGGCTGGGGACTCTGCCCCCAGGACCCTTATAATCTAAATGCTAGAATGAGAGTAGATACAGACCAGGCCAGTATTCCAGATCTTTCTACCTTGGAGATCATGTACCTATATTTTTCATCCTCTTGTCCTACACAACGTTGTTCAGGGAGCCGTTCATCTTCAGGGGTGTCATTCTCCTGGGAAGTACATGTTTGTGAGGCATTTGGCCTTCCTTTCTTTTTCCCTTGCAAGATAAAGTCTGGCTTTTTCTAATAAGAACATCTTCATGGGCCAACAGAATTTCTTTCCAAAGACTTGATCCAAAGAGAAATGATTTTTTTTTTTTTAAATTGTTGGTTTTTAATGGAAAAGGGAATATACATTCTCTCTCTGCCTTAGAAGCTCAAGGCTGGCAGGCCCTCTCTGTGCATTAGAGTGGAACTTTGTAATTTGGACCTCACTAACTTTGGACATGTTGCTGATAGGAACACGGCTGGTGTTTATTTTTTCCTGCATGCTATTTATGAAAAGAGGGCATGCTAAGGAAACAAGCATTGTCCATGATATTTCAAAGACAAGGTTTTCGCCTGCTCAAGAAAAAGAAAAAAAAAAAAGTTTGCAAGTACAATTAAAAACCACTCCAGGAGACAGGGCCGGGATAAAAACACAAGTCTGTCGTCTCAAAGCCTGTGTTATTTCCCATGAACCATGTGGGTCCCTCTTGGGCAAAGTTCCATTGGCTACATTTGCATATACTATCTATTCTGCTATACTCATATTGTATAAGCTTACTAATTCAGAAAAATTGGAGGGACGAGAAAGTGATGAGTATGAATCACAGCCTGAATTTTACCGTACATTTAGAAATACACCTTTTATTTGACGTTGATGTGTATTTTCTAATTATGAAGTCTTTGACTCTGAGATGTTTTCATCCATAAGCCAAGAAGAAGATTGAGTAACACCCTTTTTTTTTTTAGTTTATGCCTGTTTCATCTATTATTACTTAAAAGGTGTGGGGACATATATATATACACATATACATATACATACATATATACATTCCACTCCTCTACCCCAGCAAGACCCCTATTTTATGTGTAACTGAAAGGAAAAGGAACCTTGAGCCTCTGCTCTTGGATCAGGAAATGAGTGGTGCAGCCCGTACTTTCATGGAAGATAAAGGCTGTTACCCCTAGCCCTGCCTCTGGCAAAGTGGAAGATCACCAACAGGAAGCAAAGGGTTTGTAGATTCATCAAACTATCTGTATTGCCTTTAAGGTTTTACTTTCAGTGAAGGCCTCCTCATCTTATTTTCACCTTCTAACACTCGAATTTCATGGAAAACAAAACAAGGCCAAACTTCCTTGGGGCTCCACCAAAGGGTTTCATTTTCTTTGTCTCGCCACCCAGATGGGACCCCCGTTGGGCATCTGTTGCCCAGTTTCTCAACCAGGTAAATAGATAAAACTACCTGATCCAGGGGTCGTGCCCGGCTGGTGCCCCCTTTGAGGCGTATAAACCTCTTGGGTTATGAGTGAGCTCAGCCGATCTTAGCTGGTGTCTGCAGGTGACGAGGCAGTCAGCACTTTCTGGCAGAGCGTCGCTCTCCAGTTTCCTTTACAGTTATTCTATGGAGGGAATCACCCCACATAGTTTGAATCACGGCCCCAAGGTCCACAACCACTGGGCTAAACATTACCAGCTGTTGCTACTGGCAAGTGAAAAGAAAACCAAGAGGGGGGAGTGGCGGGAGGGGCATTAGAATAGAAGGAGCAGAACAGGGTGAGGGGGGAGGATCCCCTGGGGGGTACAGTGACAGGGCCTTCCAGGTCCTGGACTTGAGTCCTGGGTTCTAATGTTCAAGACAGTGCATTATTGTCATTAGCTACTGGAGTGTCTGCTTCCTTCTTAAAATAATAAGTCTAGACACAGACTTCTAAGTAGGGAGGGGGGGGCTTCCTTGGAGGGATAGGGGGCATTTTCTTGTGTCTTGTATTTCTAGTCTTATTAAAATAGCATATTATTATGATAAGACTTTATAAGAAGGGTTTTATGGTTCTCATGAAGTGATAATTTAATCTGACAGCAGAACACTATTTAATCACATATAACTGCTCTGGGTCTGGCCAACCTATCATCCCTGAAATTAAAAAAATTATTTCCCAGATAGTTTGGGAAGCTGGGCATCTGGCAGTCATATCTGTGTCTTATTTTGTTCCCAGCGCAGCTTCGTGAGAGATGTTGTAGATCCCTGGTTTTACAGATGCAGAGTTTGAGGAACAGATTCAGCATTTTCTCCCATGTTATTAACTAGTGAGTTGGTAAACAAGAATGGAACCCCAGTTCTTAGGATGTTGAGGCCTAGGTTCCTTCTAAGCTGGCTGCATGCTTATTGATGAGTGAGCTATAGATCTCATTCCTTATGGTTGCTTTAACTGTGCTTTATCTCTGA